CCTCCTGATAAGCCTTCCATTGACCATTTTGGCATTTGAAGATCTCCAATGCGGTATTAACACCGTTTGGCGGTAGTGTATGAACATGTAAGTATTCGCGTGTGTACGAACGGAAGAGGCGGACAGCAGGATCAACCAGCAGATCACGCGTTAGCTTCAATGCAGAGCCTGTCCGTTTTACGGACTGCTGGAAATTAGTGAACTCTGACTTTGTCTTTGGCTTGCCAGCTGGTGCAGAGAGACACACAGGCATAATGTCATTTGTAAACAGACTGAGCGAATTTGAACATCTGGCTTCAGTTTCTGTCAGCGCTCATGTTGATGCGATAAAGCGCCATCAAGCTTAATTTGCTTTTCCATCCAATGTTAATGAGGGATTTCATAACGCGAATAAACAAGCATATGTTTGTTCGCTACGATTAAGCGGCATATGTATGGTAGTCCACAAAGATGCGCGGTCTGTTATGACCATAAAGCGTTAGAAGTCAGAGAGTGCACAAGAGATCTATGAGTTTACACTTTATCGTTAGTAGATCTTCGTTAAAAACATATTACTTTATCTCAGCTGTGTTAAGATGTCTGTACTTGAACGCGGGTAATATATCTAATAATGCGCAGTCAACCGCGTTAACTTAAGCGTCATGCATTTGCCGAGGTGTTATGCCGCATCCGACAAAGCTGAAGATGCGCTAGCTGTGAGTTCGTTCTGATTTTGTAAGAAGCTTTGTAATGATATTGCTCTTTGTGGAAATCCACATTCATCTTTCAACAAGTCTGACAGGCGCTCGCAATCTCTGCATGAACCCTCGAGCTGATATTTTACAGGAGGGTAGCGTATCCTTACCACTTACGAAGGTCGATTTGGGATAGGGGTGATCGCGATGCGCAAATGGCACTAACCTTATAAGGGACACAAATACCGTTATTGCTCTGAAGCAACCAAGACTTCTAATCTGGATACACTTTTCAACGCTGGCATAAAACCTGTTTGCTTTCATGACCTCAATCGTGTTACAGAAGTACTTAAGTGCGCGTCGATAGCAAGCTTTTTACCTCTAGCCAGCCTTTGGTCAATAAAAGCGTCATAGGGCATTTTTGCAAACGTATATGTAGGGATCTAAACAACTGTGTTACCGTATAATTATATGTCGTTAGTGAGTTGGAATGATTCTGCGGCACAACTAGCCACACAAATTGTATTCCGCTTGGGTTGCACTGCTGTAAATAAGATAATAAATAACTGCATAAGATTTTGACAGTTTTCCACCACCAGATCATGTGCACTTTATATCGTGCATTCGGACATGAG